TCAGATTGAATACTTAAGGGGTCTTGCATAAAAACAAGGCTCATAGCAAATGCTATAGCAAATACGGTCAGATGCATTTAGTTGCTGCTGAATAGGGACAACATTAATTCCCCTGAATTCCTGTCCGAGTAGACTTCTTGCCTGTTCCTCAATGTCGTCACAGATAACATCATGAAAAAAACTGTCATATAAATTAACATGGCCACTGGAGCAACCAATGGAACTTAAACATACCCAGTGGTTACCTCCAGTGTTCAAAATCTGTATGGATTCACCACTGATAATGTCAAAGGCTGTTATTGGACCAAGTGTTGGCCTTTGAAATCCTTCAATGTTCGGATTTAACTGTTTGAGGTGGATTTGTGCCTGGTGGATTATAGAACAGTCTAACCAGCCATGTGTATCCTCCATCAATGCAAATTCTCTTTCAGTCAGATTCCCTAGTGAACCCGTCTTATTAACATTTGTGTTGACAGTTTCTTTGACAAACAAAACATCTGGGTCAGGATTTGGGGATGATCCTCCTTCCACATCACTATCCTGTGGGGTGTTTGCACCGATGTTGATTGGTGTTGCAGGTGAATCCGCCTTCAAATCATTATCACTTTGGGAGCTTGAATCATTAATAATGGGGGCTGACATTACACTATCGGGTGTTCCAGCTGGTTCTCCTAACAAATCAGAATCCCCTTGAGCTGGTGTTGATGGTCTACTTTTAGGTGCTGTAATCTTGCAGTTATAGCAAAGCCAGGTTGTTCTTGCATTGCTTGGATAACGTTTGTAAGACATGCATGACAGATGAAAAAATTTACCATTTGAGCACTGTTCATTGTGACATTTTAGCAGTTTATCATTTGCCTGTGCTTTTTTTTGACATGTGCAGATAGTTGCAAGTTTTGTTGCCTCACTTAGGAATTGATCCTTCATTTCAGGCAATTCCTTGCTTTTTGCCCTTGTAAATTGAGGCAACTTTCTACAATGAGGGCAGTACCACATTTTTGGAACTGTTACATTCTTGATACCCAAACAGGATGGATGAAATCTGGATATTTTGCATGTGTGGTTAACACATGTTATTGGTCCTTCACTAGTTGTTTCCCTGCAGTAACAGTCACCAGGTTTTGCGACTTCTTCTGGGGAAAGCTGGGCTTTTAAATCCATCTTTCGGGTATACCATCTTCCCAATATTTCTGGTAATGTACAAATTCTCCAGAAAGTCTCTAGTTTGGGAATTTGTGTTTCTCAGTGTTTCATGTCTGGAGCAAGTCTTTCCAAGAAAAATTTCGATGTTTGCCCATCTAAGGCGAACACAATAAAATCTAAATATCCTCTCCCACTTTTATGGATTTGTTGTTGTGCTTAGGAAGTAGATGAACACAACACAAAAATTTTCTTTTTTTTTTCTAAACAAATTAAATGAAATTGAATAAGATTGACGAAGTTTGTAACAGTGTGAATTCACTGTTTGAGTGATGTTTTTGGTTTGTTGTCATCCAAACATTTTGCTACCGTGGCAACATGACGTAAAGACTTCTCCTCTTTATTGCACCAATTTTAATCTACCATCAAATTCCACATCTAACTTTTAGACTCAGAGCCCACGTACAGAAGCTTATTGGTTCATTGTATCATTTGTAAGATTCTTTGTTAAAAGCTCTGCTTGATGATAATATTTTGGTTCATGTTCTGATAGTGATGATGATGATAACCAAGCCCCAATCCTACCTGAAGCCAAAAAAAATGCTGATTTCTTCATCTACAACTACGGATTGTAAATCTACAAACAGAAGTAAGGAATTGTAGCACCTTTCTGAGATGTTCCCCGATAAGACATTAAGTGAACTGGGGGCCTCTCTAATCGAAAATGGGAGTTATAGCAAGACAGTGAATTCCCTTCTCGGTCAAAACTCTATGACTTTATTTCATGACAATCCAACTGATTATGATACAAATGCTGCTGCTACTTTTGACGACGATGATAATGATGAATTACTACATAGTACATTTTGGGATCAATCAAAAGAGGAACGCCTTTGATCTGAGCTAAAAAGTATCCAGAGAAAAATGTTTGCGGAGAAAGTTAAACTGAAGATTGATGAGGAAGATCTATTAGAAGATGCCATGGTATACTACAAAGCTGAGGAGTTTGACCCAACAAAGAGGCTTACAATTGTATATTCTGGACAATCGCCCGCAGACACAGAAGGGGTAGTAAGACAGTTTTACACACGGTTGCTTTGTGCTGTATCTAAGCAGTTTTTCCAGGGCCTAGACTACCGCACACCAATCTACAGCAGCGATGTTGTAGCTGCAGGGGTTATGAAGCTGGTGGGGGTGATGGTTGTGCACAGCATTTTACAAGGGGGCCCTGGCTTCCCCATTTTTAGCCCAGCAGTTTATAATTACTTATGTAAAGGGGCCCTCCAGGAAGCAGTTAAAACAATGACAACAGATGATTGCTCTTTGCACATGCAAGATCTGATCACAAAGGTGAGAAAAGGCAAATTTAAGGGACAATTGGAAATCTTAGCAAAAACATCTACATTCTTGAAAAAACCCTTGAAAGCTCTCCGTTTCTACGTTTTGGTGTCTTTTTCTTGACTTTGCATTCATTGTAATGTGCAGGCAAAAGGGCCAATACAAAATAAATAGGAAACACTTCTTATGCTCTCTGCTGTCATGTGTATTATTAAAACATTGTTACATCCTTCTTAAATTTAACGTTTTGGCAAAGAAATGGTTTGATCATGACCCCCACCTCCCCAAAAGAGGGTAACAAAATAAAGATTGGCATTTTCATTGACTAGCTGTGGTTTTGCAGGTGCCGAAATGTTCCTCTGACTGGGGTTGAAATACATTCCGTACCAAACTGAAATACTAATTAATGTGATCTCCCTTTTTTTTCAGATTGCTGGAGCTCGTGATGTGCAGGAGCTCAACAACTATGCAATATTTAAGTGTTTCATGACATGTAAATAAACTCATACATGGCACGATTTCCTCTTTGCATATCACTACAAATTATTGGTTCCATACCATACATGTATGCAGTTTGGCTTTAGATGACGATAAATTACTTAATCTTGCATGCTTTTCAATGACATGAGCGTGAAGCAATCTTTTCAGCAATTAACCTGAACTTTTGGTGTGGACAAAAGTTGAGAGCAGCATTAACCTGCATTCCCATAGTAAATGACTTTTCCAAAATCGTTTTCCGAGAATGTCTTTCGGCATTTCTAACAGCTATGATCAATTATTTTTGTTCAAAAATCATTTTGCCCTAATTATCTTTCTACTTTGGATTATAGTTGAAAAGAAAACAATTCTTGTGCTTTAACCTTTTGTATCTGAGAGATTAAGGTCTTAGGTAGGTTCAAAGTTTCAGTGTTACAGATACAGTTACCGTTGAGCACGAGGATTCATGCAGTAATTCCAGTGCATATTGTAATAAGAATAATCTTCAAACATATAATTTTGATATATTTTATTTCTATGAAAAATTTATATTATCCGTGTTAGTAACGAAAATTCAATACAATTTAAATTTTACATTGATTCCCGTACGAAAAAAATATAGTGAAAGAAAACAACCAAACAAACCAAAACTAATAGACCTTTACAAGGTTAACACCGCCATTTTGCCGGGGGTGCAAAACTACTGGGGCGAGCGCGCGGCCAAACAATAAAATGCAAATGGCTGACTCATCGAGTTGCAATTACCTGCGAAGAAATATCGAAATATCTTAATCTAGGATCAAGACACGTGTACTGAAACTGTTAGTTTGAAATCCTTTTCTATTTCTGCCGCTACCACTCCGGTAGAGCGGCCACAAAATTATTTGTGATGCCTCGACAAGCAGAGGAAGTTCTTGAATACGACGACTTCCTCGGTTGGACTGTTTCCTCGTTAAAGGATTTTCTTTCGCTACAGGGACTCAAGCAAACGGGCAGAAAGTCTGAGCTGATCGCTAGAGCGTTTGGAGCCTACGAACTCAATGTGCCTGTGAAGTTTTCCCAGGAGCAAATTTATCAGCAGATAAAAGACGAATATTCAAGGAGGCTGACTAAAAATGAAATTAAGAGTGATCCAAACATGTTACCGAGTGACGCTTGGATTGACGACGTAAAGGAATGGCCAGAGGTCGATGATGGCAAATTGTTCAGTTATATTTTGAGGACTAAAGCCGTAGATGTCGACTATATTGGAAAATACAAGGATCAGAAGGCCTATTCTTATTAGATGAGTGGCTTTGTAGACACAGTGTTCTTTGCTAAATGCCCAATTAACAGCAAGCATGTGTTCTTGAAAGGCTCTGTATCCCCTTCACAAAAAATTCGTGATGACCCGCATAAGGTCTGGGTTTGTTTAGAGGGCACAAAAAGTGAATGCAAAATCTTAACCTCTTGGTGTACATGTACAGCAGGTATTGGTGAAGTTTGCAATCATGTTATAGCTTTGCTATATAAAGTAAATTTTGCACACAAGAAAGCTTACATATCTCCTGCATGTACAAGCGTTCCACAAGGATGGAACAAAGGAACTAGAAAGGATGTAGCTCCAACTCAAATAAAAAACCTTGTCTTTCGTAAAGACAAAAGACTCGGGAGGACAGTCCCAAAGAACAGGCAGCCAATTTAACTTTAAAGAACAACTTTGACCCACGAAAGCCCCAGGATAGGCAGCTGACCAATGAAAGGGTGTCAGCTCTTATCAATGGAGTAATTGAGAATGTCCCATCTGCTTGTTTACTTCACTCTATCGAGCACACTAAAGATGACGGCCTACCCGAACCTCTTCCTCAGAGAGCCCTTAGCTTCATGTCATCCCAAGAAATGAAAGGAAAACCATTGGAACATACCGCTCCACTCTTTTTAAAAAGAATGTCAGATGACGAGTGACCAAGTGAAAAGGGTGGAAACTGAAACTCGTGGCCAGAGTAACAATGACTCTTGGCATCAACAAAGAGTTGGGAGAGTGACTGCGTCAAATTTTCACAAATTTCACACCAAGGCTCAAACAATCATCAACAGAAAAAGTGACAATGACAAAAAACCCATTTATAGTTCAATGGTGTCAAGCCTGTTGAATAAAAGTGATGATGTCTCACATATGCCACAGATAAAGTGGGGGAATGCCCATGAAAAGGATGCCATAAAATCATTCATGTCAGATGTGGCCTCTCAACATGATGGTGGCCTACAGGGCTTTAGACAGTGTGGATTGTTCATCAAACCCGATTACCCCTTCCTTGCGGGTTCCCTGGACGGCCTGTTTTTTTGCCATTGTTGTGGTCTGGCAACACTGGAAGCAAAATGTCCCTACAGTGTGAGAAATGAAAATATTCATGAAAAAAAGACATTTGACCGTGTGGAATTTCTTGAAGATTTTAATGGAAAGCCCCGCTTGAAACGCTCGCACAAATATTACACCCAAATGCAAGCTCAGATGTGGGTTTGTGGTGCCAATCATGGCTTCTTTATTGTTTGGACTCTGGGCGGCCAACCATTGTATAAACGAGTAGAACTTGACTTGGAATTTTGTCTGAAAGTTGTGAACAATATCACTCTCTTTTACAAATCTTTTGTGTTACCTTGCCTGTTAGGATACAGGGACATTTTTGAGTGCCCTAAGTGTGACAAGGTTATTTTGGAGAGTGATGAAATAAGTGATTCTGCAAACGAAAACAGTGTATGCTGTGACCGCTGCAGCACTTGGTGGCATTTGCCATGTGCTGAACTCAGTGTGAATTCTGCAGATGCACTCGTCTCTTGGATTTGCCAGAGCTGCCTGGCTGATGCAGCAAACATACATGATGCTGGGGATGATGAACTTGACTTGAACTTACCTGAGGAAGAAGAACAAACTGATAACTCAAACACTGTAAATCATGTCTGCCCAGTTTGTTGTCTTAAGAGTATCCCTGTGATTGGAGAACATGTTTGCACAGTCTGTAAAAAAGCTGTCCATGTTTGGTGCAGTAACCATGAGGACATAACAAGTTCTGCAGACCTAATTTGTAATTACTGCATTTCAGATTAATACATGTACTGTACATTGAATTTTAATTACTGTTCACAAGGAGAAGTTTCACCACATGGTCACATACAGCTGTAACTAATCCCAAACATCAAATCGACAAAATCATAGATTCACAAGGTGTTAAGAACTTTAATACACCAGTCCAAGAAGTACATGTATAACCTACAAAATGTTTTAATTGCATCATGTAATATTTTTCTACATGTAGAAACAATTTAAGAATGTTGGATGCATTTTCATTTCTACTAAGTTAGACATGGAGAAAAGTCAGAGTTATTTACACATTTCTATATATTTTTTATAGCCACTTATTGTTTAGTATTGTTTTGTTGATGCATTTTTTATGAAATGTTATGAAAATGTTGTATGAACATTCCTGTTGCTACGGTTAATTACGCACATTTCTAGTAGCAAATGTCAATTCCTTAATCAATTTAACATTATGTAAATACAACTTGATTTGGAAATATACCGGTATTTCATGATAATTTAAACAAAATTGTTTTGTACAAAAAGTAACATTTCATTCACTCATGGAAGGACCTCCATTCAAGGAAAGCCAAGTTCATTAGATAGCTTTTGTGGGGACTGTTCAATCTGAAATAGAAAATGCAAGGTATTGCTCTTATGCCTTGAAATACACAACGATGTCATCTATGTACAGTGTAGTAGTAGTTTCACATTTCATTGACACGTTAACAGTTCTCAAATGAACCTGCCCCAGTCTCTAAACTGAATATGTGGTCACCTTGGCATATTTGTAAATAAAAATATCAAACACAGAGTGGTGGAAGCAAATTGCACAATGCACAGCAGACACGAACAATATCATCAGCCAGGGGAAGCAGGGTAATAGGCAGTTCATTTTTCAGAATAAGAAAAACTTTGAGCCGTCCAATAGCTTGTTCAACATAAATTCTGACATTCGCAATGTTTGATGTCTCTCTGACATCACGTGGTAGCATTTGCATAGATGATGCACAACTAGGTGGAATGCATAATGTTGCCATGTGCATCATCAAGTCCTCTCGGATTTTAAAACCTCTGTCTGCCATGACTTCATCGTAAGGCTCAATCATTTTTTTAAAACCCACTATTCCTTACAATAAAAATATCAGATGCCCTGCCTCCATAACATGGTGAAACATATGAAATTGCTCCATTTGGGGTGATGGCAACAAGGACTTTGAAAGTGTAGTGGTGCTTGTACTCACTCCATAGTGTTGCTGCCAGGTCAAGTCCACTTGGAGTTTCTGTGAAGCACTCAAAACAGTCAATTACACATCTTACTTTGGGATAAAGCTTTTTAAAACAGTATGGGAGGGTTTTCTTGATCTGTTGTCGACTAGGCCACACAATTAAAACGGAGAGTTCCTTGGACATGAGCTTAACCCAAGTTATAAAAACACTACTGACAGTGGAAGCTGACACATGGAACCTGAACCCCAAATCAAAAGTTAGAAGAGCTAGTCTTAGTTTCATAAGAGTCAGTAAAAACTCCTGTTCAAGTCGAAGCTTCCTCTCTGGCCCAGGTCTTCCTTTGAGATAGCCAGTTGCTAACTCAAAAGGAGAGGGAGGTTGAGACGATTCTTTTCTTGTTTGTTTTCCACCCCTCCAATATTGCATAAACCGAGCCTTTGGGCTCAAATAATCGAACAAGAACTCGAATGCTTTCGGTGATGGCAGACCTGTGTAGACTTTTACTTCCATTTCTCTTGTCAACTGTTCGAATTGCATTGGAACTGAGACGGAGTAATCTGCATCTGCTTCCATTTCTTCATCATCACTATCACTCTCCTCAGGATCCTGCTTTGACTCCTTGGAGCTAGGGAACAGGCTTCTTGCAGAACCAGCTTCTTGTAACTTGTTCGCTTTCCTTTTCTTGGGTGATTTTTTCTGCAGGTAATCCGAAACAGTCATAAAAATAGACGGAAAATCCGTTTTAGGGTTTTCAGGAGTTCTTCGTCCACATGGGAAATGATTTGAACACACGAAAGTCCCACTAGCACCAGGGGAAGGATTGAAGGAATCACTTCGAGTCTTCGCCACTTGTTTTCGCCATATTTCGGCAAGTTTAGGGTCGGTTGGCCACTTGTGATATACTAAATTCTCCACATGTGATCTGACAAAAGCAAGGTCAGGATATCTTTTATCATTATCGCAAAAACCTACCGCACAACGAGCGTGTTTTGGCATGTTAACAGATTATTCAGCCGTGTCGCCATTTGCATTTCATGCTCGGCCGCGCGCTCGCCCCAGTAGTTTTGCACCCCCGGCAAAATGGCGGTGTTAACCTTGAAAAGGTCTATTAAATCGCATTTTGGTGAATGTTGAGAATTAATGTTTATCATTGTTATATTTAAATATTCTGAAGCAAAAGTTTCAAGTTTCGAGTTAATGAGTTGCCTCTTGCAGTGGTAAGTGATATAGATACACAAAGTAAATTGATCATTTCTGTGTATTAATAGAAAAACACTGTCGCCACAGCTAGAGGTTTTTGAAATTTTGTGAGAGACTGAGGCTAGTATTTGTGATTGCGTGATTGTGCAGACTTGAGTTGATGACAGAGAACCCATGTGTTGGATCAAATTAGTTCGATAAGTGATTTTGTTAAATAGCCGTGAATGATATGTGTCAAAGGACCGGAAATTTACCCGTAGGCCATTTGCATGCAATGTTCAGTATAAATGATAAGCGCTTGTGATTTTAAGTTGAGTCGTTGAGTTGTTGTCGTTGTTGACCCTGTAAACCAGTCGTGAGATTGCGAGAGCTGTGACCTGTTGAGTTTGAACCTTTGAGAGTGATTCCAAGCCATTAAACCTATCAGTCGACCTGTGAGTAGAATTTGCCTTGAATTATTCCTTTTCCTTTGTGACATTTGTGGGGAATCGATTCCTGGAGACAAGCGTTTCCCAAAATTTCCTGACCTCCTGACAGATATAAAATTTCCCTGACCAACTGAGTTAACAATTTAACAAATCATTCCTGAAAATGGACTTAACTCACCCTACACAGCCGTCCCACACACATTTATTTATGCTTTTCGCAAGTCACTCGTAATGTAAATGAATTGATAGTTCCTTAATGTAAAATTTAGCTTTAAAAGGATTTAAGTACATTATGGATATTTATTCTTTGTTAAATTATGGACTGAATCTTCTAGAAGGGGAATTGGAGTGCAAAGATAGTTGTGTCTGATAGCATGTGCCTAATGGATTTGCTATCAGGCTGTGAATTTTGTTCTTAGCTTGCCTGAAAGGCAAGTGTAGTTTACTGGGGGAATTCAAATTACAGGAAAAGTAATCAATACTACTCTTCTAAAAGATTATTCAGGCTAGTTAGAATGAGAATTGGGCTAGTACATGCTAGCTAGAACTTGCCGAAATAGCAACCTACAAAACTGACTATTGCTACTATACCAGCTATTATACTTCCACGACCTTTCAGGATGCTGCAGCATAAATCAACCAACATCGTAGTTTTCTCCTCCCTTGTCACACCGTACTCTGGATGGCGAGCCGTAATCTGAAACAGCCCCTAAAAAGTTTTCAACACCGTAGCTGTCTTATTGTTGTTGGCTGCATGCAAGTAGACGGGAAGTCTTGAGTAGCCTTCAATGCCACCATGTACCACAATTCTCCACCTTCAGTAGAACAGAATGACAAACGTCCAAAAATATGGCATACCCATCTGTTTAAAAAAAAACTACATCAGGTTGATTCGGCAACAGAACGGGAATGTCAGTTGATGACAGCACGTGCAAATCAAACAACTGGCTTGACCAATGTGTTTAGTCCTTTCCTTGCTCTTTTCCATCATCAACTGATGTTCTTGTTCTGTTGCCAAATCAGCCTGCTACGACAAGATGCAAAATAAACACTTAGTACCTAATCAACTTGTGATCTCCATCTACGTGCCACAAGGAATGTGGTGCATGGACATTGTAGACTCGCCGTTTTACTGACTCTTTCCACCTGTTAAGAACACCCGTCGGATCTGTCCGCAAAAGAGAAAGCTGGATTCTATCCCTTTGAAGACGATGACCAATACTTTTAAGGTGACCTTTCAGTAACGTTATGCCAACAGCTGGATGCTGCTGCTGCACTTGCCTCACCAACTGATCAAGATCTTGATCACTGATGTCACTGTATGTTTCTGAAAGAAGGTGACGTCTGAAGATATTAGGGACCTTACGATCCGACAACGGCGACGGCGAGGTGGGACTTTTTTTACTTCCGGTTACGTACTGCGCATGAGTAGATTTCTGAGACGGCGGTGTCCCTTCACGTGCGGACGTCTAGAAGCCTTGTTTGACGTTGAGCGAAAACGTGGAAATTAAAACCCAACTATGGCAAAGGAATCAAGGTAAAAACGAGACTTTGCGACTAAATTTAAAGAATACTAGTTTGTATGAAATGCCCAAAGCGAACAGAGCGTGGAGTCTTTTGTATACGACCACAAACTGAATGGAGAGAGATTTGACTTATTTTGCTTTGTATTTGTTTGTGATTGTACTTCACTCGCTATCACTGAGCTTTCTTATCACTTACTTTCCAACTTTTTTCTCGATCAAAAAAAGAGAACAATGAAGCTTAATTTTATTTTGGGTTTACTAGGAAATAGTAGAGAGATTTTGTTGGCAGCGGTACTAGATTCGACCGATGCAAAGTGTATTAATACTTTCATTGAGCTAATTTTCATTTATAATCGTAGATTAACCTTATTTTACAAGGAACTCACTGGCTGGGTTGAACAGTTATATCAACGAATTCCGACTACCGCAAATATTATTGCTATATTTATAACTGAATCAAAAACAAATACAAAACAGAGACGTTCACATAATTTCCACTGTTTCCTAATTAAATAAGAATTATTTTACAAAATCCAAACTTTATTGATTGCCCAATATTTTGCTCCAAATGCTACACATGTTTTAGTAATTCATGACTGTTTTCATTTGAAAGCGTCCTTCCAACCTTAATTGTATATGTTTCCCTCATTCGGAAGGCAAAGGATAACCATCATGTATTCTCATGATCATTTCTTTATCTGTCAACAAGTTCAGCTAATTTATTGGAGGACTGAAGAAAACAAAGATATTGTCTAATATTATGATGATCTAGTTAATACCACCCAAAGCAAACTATGTTATTTGTTTTAAAAATTTTGATCATGATTAGGACCAAGTGCTAGTAAATCTCAGATACAATGATAATTTTATTGTTAGCAAATTTTGCTGATATACTGATAGTTCTTCCTCATGAAGTAATTTTTGTTGCACTGCACTTTCAGTCAATCAATGAAATGGACTGAAGAACACGAATTGCTTATGTTGAGGGAATTGATGCTTTTGCAGCCATGGCTGCACAAGAAAGGAACTAGTGAGAGAGGAGATGATTGAGAAAAGCTGGCAGTATCCTTAAATGCTATTCCTTATCCCCAATTCCGTGTTACTCAACGGTCTGTTCGTGACCACTATTCAACAATGGAAAAGAGAAGAAGGGAAAAAGTCAGGGAAGACGACAGAGCCTCAGGTATTGCCCCTGAAGAGGACAAGGAACTAGATAAACTGTTAGATGAAACCATTGAACTCTTTGATGAGTCTGACAAAATCACAGATCAAACAAAACAAAAGCAGGAAGAAGAAGCAAAGAAAGCAGAGGAAATGCGGAAGAGATCATTGGAAACTTTTAAAGATAGCGCCAAAAGGAAGCCGATGAACAGCAAGGAGCAAGACCGAAAAAGGGTAGAGCTAGTGGTGCAAGCACTCTGGCTTACCTGAAGGATAGGGCAGAAGTAGAAGCTACTTTAAAACGTGATGAATTGGAGATAAAAAGGCAAGAGTTAGCACTGCAAGCAAAGGAGCAGGAAGGAAGACAACAGCAGTTTGATATGATGAACAAGCAAACTAGAGATATTCAGCAGCAGCAAATGCAGCAGTTTATGCAAATGAATGCAAACATGATGCAACAGCACCAACAACAAACCCTTGCACTTATGGAACTAATGAAAAAGTTTGCTGGGAAGTGATGCTGGTCAATCTCTGCAAGAGGTCATTTAAATGCACAAAGAGTTCACATTTTTGTTAACTTGAACATTTTCAAGGTAGTTAAAAATTAAAGATTTATAACAATAATTACTTGTTTACATATATAGTTGTAAAGGAAATGTTGCTTAATTTTGCCAACCTTTGATAGTCACCGAATTGATGTTATGCCAGTATCAAAACTGGGGCTGAGCTTTTATCAAGGCAATAGGGCTTATCCAACTATAGAATTGCATTACTCACTGTAAACATGCTCACCATTATTTGTTCTCATTTAATAGTTTGTTTTGGTGGAATTTATTTCACTTTAATTCCAATATGTTAGCCTTTCTCGATTGTATATTTTTTTTATTAAAAAGCAGTTCAATTTTCGAAAGGAAAAGTGTTATGTAACTTTTGTAAAACCTGTTTGGCAGACTTAGTGAAAATAATCCCCAATTTCTGGGGGAGAAACATCAAAGTAGTCTGATGTGGTGGATCCGTAACAACAAACACGAGCATTGTGAAGAAGGGCACATGTCACATACATTTTGCCAACAGCACTTAAACTTATTTTCAAGTTTTTTTTGAAGTCCAGAAATTTAAAATAATTTATTATATCACCAAAAATCCATTCAACAGAAACTCTGACTTCACTCATAGATTCATTCCATGCAGACTGTATGGGAGTTAGTCCAGCTCCTCGAAAAGGTCCTTGCAGATGTAGTCGAAGAGGATATGCCGGATCTCCATAAATACATAGGGGGTTCCCATTTGTGTCCACTGAAAATCGTTGCAATTGGTTTAACACTCCAGATCTAGCTAACATCCCACTGTCATGTCTCTTTCCCTCGATAGGCCCAAACAGGTTGGCAACAAGGCCACTGGGTGCTGCGATAGATTGAAACTTTATAACATGGACCTTTTTGTGACCATTGTATAAGCACTTTTGGTTTTGTCCTGGTCGGCATATGGGCCGCACAGTACCGTCAACAAACCCCCAACAGTTGTCAAGAGCAGCTCCCCTGTTGTGAACTGCAACGGCAAACTCCTCTAAATGATCGGGTCTTAACCAATCCTGGTTCAAATCAGTGAGAAGGCGGTTCCATGTTTGATACATCTTGTTCATAACGGCATTTGAGATCATACACAATTGTGGTTCTGGCCTTCCAAATCTGGGTATCATGTCTACGTATCTACAGGGATAAGCAAATCTTTTAAGAAAAATGCACAATGCCTCAACCATGTCGACATTTACACCATTGTAGCAAACGATCCGATCCGGTAAAGTAAACACCTCTGCCAAGTTGTAAATGTCATTCTTGTAAAATCTAAACTCAGTTTTATATTCATCATCGGTCATCTTGTCGAGATCGAAGCACTCGTAGTTAGTGTACGGTAAATCCGGATTTTTAGGCTTGTGTAAATCGTAGAGTAGCACGAATTCTTCAGCGTTAATCAAACAGGAAGCATGAGCCAGGAGAATAGTGTCACGGAACTTTGGCATGGCTTTCTAAAAAACTTTCGTTGACTTAAACACGATAAACATCAATGACCGTCGTCAACGTTCTCGCTCGTAAAATTCGTAATCTCAATTTTGGCGGGAACGCCAACACGACGTGGCCCCGCTCGACCCAGACTTCTCACGTTGCCGTCGCCGTCGCCGTTGTCGGATCGTAAGGTCCCTATTATGCATTGGGTAAACAAAAACGCATAAATTATTGTGGTATGACTGTTATTATCAAAAGTCACGTCTCTGCCAAGTACTCAAAGACTACATCAACTTCGATTATGGAAAAACTAGTTGGTGCCAAAAAATGTACATGACTTAAACACTGTTCCTGACCTTGAAGGACACCATGTCAAAAACCACAACGAGTTCATCAGGGTACAAAAAAAAGAATACCGAGCTGACCTGATATCCTGATTCCACAGTTAGACATCCTCCTTTCCACAGTCCTTTTTGAAATTCCCAATACCTCACTTATTTTTTCAGTCTAGCGTGTGAAAAAGTTTTCCGGCGTCCAAACATCAAGAAAAGGTTTTCATGAACTTTTTTACTGGAATTTTTGGACATGATGTATGAACAGTTCATGGGTGACTTCACTTTTCGTGATTTGGCATCTCGGCAAGTTCAGTTATTTTTAAGCTCCGTGAATTTTACGAGGGACCACCCTGCTCCATCTCTTATATTTTTCCGTTAACAGCAGTATTTCGACTCTCTTTCCTTATCCTAAACACATGCTATGAGCACAATACATTAGTATGAGTCTTCCAACAGTCATATGTGAATGTTCATTGAACCAATTTTGTACTTCTTTGTTCGTAAGTTTGTTTGTACATTGGGAGCCTCAACAAATATTTATGGGCTTAAATGGAGAATACAGGGTGTATTTAGTAAAAGCCAGGGTGAAAGTTCCAATCACTTTGCTTTGCATATACTGGGTCTGTCAGTATAAGCTATTTTTATATCAGAAGGTTGGAAGGGGTTTACCCAACTGTTTACTGAACCTTCAAAATCTTCTCTGGAACATCGTTGGAGTGATATTCAATAAATATTTCCAACAGCAATACCGTATTTAGTAGTTTTATATTAGATAGTGGCTTCTGTTTCAAGTATTTCCTTAAAATTGTTTGTACAAAAAAAATGTACATCTTCAGTTGTTTGTGTAAGTTATGAATCTGATTTACAACCAAAATAAACAAGGTAAAATTGATTTTTTTTATCAACCATCAAAAGAAGTTATTGTCCCTTGAGCCCAATTCCGTCAGCAGTTCTTTCTACGATACTACCCTTGGCTTATTTGGCCTAGATGGGTATGTGCAGCTGATTTGGGGTGGTGACCATTTCACCCTTTAGACTTTTGAACAGGGTGTCTGTCTATAGTATCATTTTTGGTACCACCATTTTTTCCCCAAGTTTTTTCCATGTTTCTAAGTTTAAATATAACTGAATTATGTATGCTAAATGAAATGAACCACATTATAAAATAAGGTCTCTTGGCTTAAAAAGGGTAGGGAAATGAACAATGTGTCCTACTACCTATACCAAACCCAGGGAGGTGATCTCACATTTTAATACCCTTTTACCACTTGTTGTAACAGCAAAGTCAGTGAAGGTTTATGGTCTCTAAGAAATGTTTTTGCTTGCCTCA